AAGGAGCACGCCTGCAACGATGTTGAAAGCCTTGACGTCGTTTTCGTAGTGCGTATAGAGCAGGATGCTAATGGTGTAGATGCCATAGCCAATACCACCAAAGGCCAGTGTCAACTTGACACCAAGCCTGTTGACGAACGTGCCTCCAAAGAAGCCGACAACAGCAAAGGTGCTGTATAGGGCGGTATTCTGCGATAGTTGCTTAGTAAATGATGATGCCAGTCAGTGATGGCCACTCACCATATCATTCACAAGCTTGGTGTCCTTGAGCCCTCCTCCACCCATCCCATTGAGCGCATTAAACATACCCGGGCACATAAAACACACAAAAGCAACCATGCCCAATTGTATCTTCGGCGATGCATACCAAGGCAGTGTGAAGCCGAAAATACGATACTGGCGGTACTTGTAGCCTTGTGGAACATCAACAACACCAGTTGAGTAGTTGTATAACGCATCACGCTCTTGGTACGCAACAGCCTCCGGGTTGTTCACTGGGGCAGATTGCCCTGCAGCGGGAGTGTTGAGAGACATGGTAATCGCTGTAGAGTAACTAAGACATACGGAGAGCGAGATAAGGGAAGAGCTGGGGCATTTATGAACTCGTAAGCTTCATGGCGAATAGCTGACGTGGCGGAGCACGACGGGAGCTGGTGGTACAGCTCATCGGCAGCTCGTGTTACTTCATACCGAAAGTCCTTGACGGAGTGGTGAGGCTTGCAGGATGGCTTGTCAGCTAAGGTAGGCTCTGCGGCTGAGCGAATATTCATAGTTCGGGAGATCAATTATAAAAAGAGGATTCTTCGATTTGTGGTGTGCAGATGCTAGATATGGTAGTATTTTTAGAATCATCCAACCCTCCTCAAGTCTGAGCTTGATCTGAGTCCAAAGGGACACCAGCATAGCCCCCAAGGAAGCCACAGAAGACACACAAACTGCGGGACAAGGGCTTCGGATTATGAGCTGATGCGGCTGAACGATTGGATCATGGATATGGCTGACTGCATAATGACAGCCAACCACTGCGGATTCTGATGAAAGAGGCTTCTTGCAGCGAATAACATGTTTCAGTCGTGTTACACCACTTTCTCACGCGAGACATTTCAGCGAGGTCGCATGGCCCCCAACTTCGCTAGGGAGACTTGATGAAATACCGGTAGGGCTGGCTACGCTGGCTTGCGGGGTCGACGGCAGTGCCGTGAGACTGAATGCCAATCCGTAAAAGTCCAATTTAGGGATCATATCATTATTTTCAATATCATTGGAGTGTGAAAGAGCTTTCTTCAAGTATGTGAATACAGCTGTTATACAATGCGTTTCTTAGGCATTATGTGACCGTAGCACGTGTATGATTTGGTCACGTGATGCCAGTGGCCTCTCCGCAGATTGGAGGCGCACGAGAAATATCTACCTAGCCACCAACATTCGTTATCAAGAATGATGGGTCGTTTGACACGAAGCGCCTGCCCTTAAACTAGATCCTCACCCAGGTCTTTCATCAGAGACAAGGATGTCACCGTTTGGGCTGGGCGTGTCTTTCCGAGATGAATGGATTGTTTCTAGAATCAGGCCCAACCTTGATAGGCAGGGCGAGGCAAGGTGCGCGGTGCAAGCATTAGCTTTCAGGTCTCTCAACTCAAAATAACAAGTACTAAAAAGGGACTCCAGGCTAATTGAAAACTTGTCATCCGAATGTCAGATAAATCACAGGAGCACACACGAACTCGATGAAAGTCTAGCCCTCTGCAACTATCTCAACAAAACGATGAGCGCCGAGTCGGCCGCCCGAGCCATCACTGCCGGTTTATCGCACCAACGCCCAGGAGATGTGAGGCGCCGTAATGAACTTTGGAGGCTTCTTGCCTTAACTCTCCTACACTTCGATGATGACTGCGACATGATAGTTGATCTCCTCGTCGCGATTCAATCTCTGCCATCAAGGAATAGTAGGCCCTGGTGGATGACGGATCCACAGCCCAGCGACTCCTTGTGTGAGCTGCCTGCATTTCACAATATGTGGCAATCCTGCTACGAATCGCTTAGGTGTGATTGTCACGAGCGTAACGGTGAAGGTTTCTCATCAGAGAAGAAATACTACAGAAGGGCAGGGATAGTGGAAGCAAAGATGTATCTCCGCGGGATTCCAGGAATAACGGAGTTTTGGGCGTACAACACGATCAACCTTGTTTGTGTACAGAACGAAGACCTCGAGTTCGTTATTTATGAGATACACGGTTGGTTGCAGACTGCAGGATCCAAACTGGCGGAAACACTAGATTCAAATCAGATCAAGTATTTCGAGAGAGGAGTGAGAGGTCGGCGTGATAAGAGATACGATATTTCTGTCACCATGTTCGAGCATTGGCAGCATTGGAAGAAGTCGTTTTTGGAGGTCAGTTTTGATGAGAACTTTTTATCTTCTGAGGGAAGGGGGCTGGCAAGAGAGTGTCACGATATCATGAAGGCGCAAAAAATCAAGTTGCCATTGTTTGTATAGCCAACTAGCATATAGAATTAAGCCGGGTTATGAAGTTAGAAGCACCCCTGTACACACAGTGAAAGCAAGCAAAAGCTGGTCAAATAATCAATATCAACATCTCAATGCACTAGAAATTGAACCTATCCGATGGTATTAATGGGCAGCCATGTCTAATAATAGCACCTCACTATTGCGCCAAAGGGGTATGAAAGGTATTCATGTTTGACGTATATCGTCCACAATTAAGTAATGTACATCGGGCTAGCTACCCTCATCCGTCAGAGGTTGGGCACCTCAGCAACGCAAGAGTTCTCAAGACAAGTGCATCCAAAGACCTCGCAGCTGTATCCATCAATGTCGGTCTTCTCGCCACAATCCTCAGTAACATCGCAGTAGTGCGCACCCTCGGGAACAGGGACAGCAACGGCACGTCGACGAGCAGGAGGTTGAGTAGTGGCGACTTCCTCGGGTTGGGTGGTTGTAGCAGGCTCCTCAACCGGGGCGGTGGTTGTGTTCTCCTCGGCGGCAGCAGTAGTAGTGGCCTCAGCAGCTGTGGTTGTTTCCTCGTCGACAGCTGCGGTGGTTGTAGGCTCGGCAGTGGTGGTGCCTGTGAGTTGCTCGCAGTTGCGGTTGATGCAGCCGCAGCGGACGGCATCGCAGAGCTGAACGAAAGCATTACAGTCTTCGTTGGTGACGCAGGGGAAGAGATCGGCAGGGACGAAAGCAGAGGTTGTCGCCAGCTCAGAGGTGGCTGTGTCGGTGGCGGTGAAGGTGATAAAGGTGGTCACGTCGGTAGTGATATCGATACCAGAGGTGGTGAGGGCAGTAGTAGTAGTAGCCAAGGATGTCTCAGCGGTGGTGGTGTCAGAGACAATTGGCAGGGAAGTGGTCTCAGATCCGGTCTCGGCAGTAGTAGTCTCAGATCCAGACTCAACGCTCGTGGTCGTCTCAGCACCAGTCTGAACACTGGTGGTGGTCTCCGAGGTCTCAACACTGGTGGTAGTGGTACCAACAACAGTCTGCGTGGCTGAAGTCTCAGATGCAGTCTTAGCCGTAGTGCTACCAGACGAAACCACCGCGCTGGTCTGCGAGCTAGGGCGGCAAAGACCAGCGTTAACACCAGAGATAGAAAGAGCGGCAACAAGGCCGGCAGCGAAGTTGGGGAACATCATTGTAGCGAACGTGGTGATATCGAAGATATCTTTGTTAAAAGAGTGACTGGTCTAAAGGATGACTGAAGAAGGAACAGAAAACATCACAAAATACAGCGCGCCTGGGTTTATAAACATTGCGCATCGCAATAATAAAGGATCGGCAGCTATGATGGATATTTCCAAGCGCATAAAGTTAGGAGGAGACTATTGATTTTTGGCTCGTTTCTTTTGCGGGCCAGCCCCAACGCCGCCCTCCGTTAGGCGCCGTTTCCCCTGAGTTTACCTTGGATGAGAAATTAAGTGGTGTTCACAAGCTCAGCCCAGGTTGAAAAATGCCCAATAGCCTCATACAAATAGCTATCGGATCAGAGACTTCCGTTATCCCGTCGTTTCTTGACGTCAAAGATATCCTGACTAAAGTTGTTTGGTGGAGCATGGGAGCTACGGTCCGTTATGTTCCGGAAATGCGATAGGATTCTCACACTTTGGCGACGCGATGAGGCTCGGGTTTTCTTTTTTCTTATCGCGAAAATAAAGAGGCCTTACTAAAGTTGGCTAGTCCAGGCCAACAAGGCATTTTCTCACCTGAGATATCCTGCCAACGCAGGGAGCTACCAACAACAAAACACTGTAATAACATGGCGTAGAGCTCCATTAGACCCCAGCGATTGCGGCGTGTTACTGAAGTGGAATTTAATTGACAGCAGGAGAGTGAAATCACTAAGCTTACTTGAAGAGGGCCCACCATGTTTCCCACTCATCGTTGGTTAGCCGTTGGAAAAGTTCTGCAACCAAAATGTTAATTGGTACTGGGCTTTCGCCCTCAATAAATCAGATAACTTTATACGGGAAATTAATCGCCGCATATCGGCCTCCTTCATATATCGACTTCTATAGCCGTTTTGTAGCCTCAGTTTGTGACGTATTAAATGGACGTCAGAGGCAAATTCGACGCTTTAGGGTATGGCAAACTCGTGGCGATCAGCGGCCCAATTGTCTCCTGACGCGCTAAAGCCCGGCGCATGCCCCACTAAAAGTAAAGATGATCACGATGAAAGACCTTATGGGTCACCATCCGCGATACAAATGCTGCAAGTAATAGTCGTATCTTTCTTGGCGTTGTGAAATAAAAGGTCGAGGTTTGTGTGATATTCAGGTGCTGGCATATGCTTATAAATTGAGAACCAGCTATTGTATAGTCTAAAATTAAACATAAGAGCGGAACAATCGATATGCTTGTTTGTGACTGAACTCCATAACTATCTTCTCTCGGCTGGATTAAGCTCTCAGCCACAGGTCTCAGCGGCAAATAACACTTCTAGCTCACAACTTAGACTGAACTCCATAACAACCAACGTGACGGGAAATCAGGAGAAAAGACCCCCCAATTCCACCACTTCTTCGTTAAATGCTTCCTTCTTTATTCTTCTCTTCCTACGCTTCTCTTCTTTCAACTTCTCGACCTCTGGCGTATTTGGGTTGGCATGGATGTATCGTTGAGCTGAAAGGGTCTCGCCAGTATGTAGCACCATCCCATCTACACAGCCAATAAAACGATCAACACCATCTTGGCTCCGAAAAGCCACTAACCCCATCTCACTAGACATTAGCGCAGTGCCCATCGGATGGAAATCGAAAAATTGCCGCGCAAGCTTGAATCTTGAAGAAAGTCTGAGCGGGAGTTTTCCCTTGGTTCTGACGGTTGCAGTGAAACATTCGGATGCATCATAAAAAGACCCGATTCTGCCCGAACGAGATATTCTGAAGCACTCGTGCTCGAATCGGAGCGTTTCATGGTTCTTCTCATCAAGGAGAGCATGCGCCAGTGCAAAGGTTGTGACGACATCGTCGCCAGCATTGTCGGCCGAGGCCCGCCCTGGCTTGACATCTTGCCAAAAGTAGCCAAAGAGTTTTATAAGAGTAAACAGACTTGGAGAAAAGACAGTAGGTGAGGAGGCGATATCTACCACGATGTCGCGAAGATCTATCCAGGCTGAGAAAAAGGGCATGGCAGCGGGAAAGTTTGTCGATAGGTAAGTCCACTCTGCTTCCATCCCGAAGCCGATGAGTACCAGATGCTTGTCCTTAGGTAGATCCTGGAGGAACTCTACGATGAAAAGCTCCAGATCCCCAATATCGAGGAACTTTTCCACGCCAAAGCGGTGGGAGCGACGAGTAGGCATTCCTTTGAGATAACCGACATGACCACCAACGCGACGACCGACGCGAAGGACATCATCTCCAAGCTCCTTACTCGTGTTGACATTCAAAGTGAGTCCTTCCATGTTATTATCTTCGAAGAAATAACGAAGTCGTCGCCTTGGTTTAATCAGTCCAGGTTCCCGCCCTGGGCATGCAGGATGTCTAGACTTTAGTGTCTTGGTAAACGCCAATCCGACTTGGTGGAGAACACGGTCTCTTTCACTTGTGATTGCAACATGTTCTGTGTCGAGTGCGAGAAGATATGAGCTTTCGAAAATTTGGCGAAACCCTTTCAGTGTCGTGATCCTTTTCTTGAAGAGGTCTCGCGTTGCTGGATCGCGCTCAAGTTGCTGGTAACGCACCATGCTGGCCAAATATGTAAGAGGAAGGAAAATGAATTTTGGGAATCTGGGACGGCGTCTGTTATATAATTTTATTTATTAAACTTTATGCTTATGAAGTACATGAGGACAGTCAAATCAAGAGTATATCTATAAGCTTGAGCAGAGAGTTGCGATGGCTTTGGAGAGATGAGCATTGGTACACGCGTAGTGACGAGTCCAGAATCGAGAGACTTTTGTGGAAGAAGTGTTCGAACTCATGAACAGCAAAAATCGAAGAGCAGCCTAGTGGTTGAAGAATTTTAGGTGCGGAATATGAGAAGGTTTATAGGTTCTAGGACGGATACCACTAGACCACTCTTCGACACAGGTAGCAGAGCGGTTTTAGAATATAAAGGGTCACCTTTGTGAGATAATCGATATGAACAGGGCATTGCTGAGAAAAGTGTAAAGAACACCTGGACTCAGAGAGAATGTCAAAGTTGTTGCGATTGGGTCTCAAGTTAGGATGAACCAATAGCAAAGCGCGGATTGTAAGCCAAAATTAGCGAGACCCTCCTCCCATCCACAGATCTCACGCCCTTGCGCCTTGCAAACGACATAGTGGGGACCATCCCCCATAAGCTCAGCCTTATATAAGTCGCTAATCACCAAATACACTTTCATCTCACCAAACTCAAACCACCAAGTTCTCTCTCTGTTCTGATATAAGCTTTCGGGCAGAAATCTCAACTGCAGATAACACTCCTCAACCACTCACATCCACAACTCCAAAACCATGTCCCAAACAGCCTCGGTCCCCGAAATCCTCTCCTCATTCACCGAAAAATGGTCGCCGCGCCTCATTGCATCAGTCAACGACCATCACGTCAAAGTCGCCAAGATCGACGGCTCATTTATCTGGCACGCTCATCCCGACTCTGAAGAGCTCTTTTATCTACTCTCTGGAAAATTGACCATGGAGATCCAAGGCGACAAGCCTGTTGTTATGAAGGAGGGGGATATGTATGTCGTGCCAAAGGGAGTCACGCATAAGCCTGTGGCGGAGAATGCTGTGATTATGATGGTGGAGAAGGAAGGGACTATTAATACGGGGGATCAGATAGATTCTGAGAGGACAAAGCAAGTGAAGGATGTAAGGGGGGATGCATGACGATATTCCAGCCGGCCAAGAACTTCTACGAGACATGAGATGATGGAAATCCGATTATATATTATGACAAATTAAAACCATGACAGCCCTAACTTCTCATCTCGTTTAGGCAACGCATGTGTACTATGTCCTGGGCACAGCAAAGTGCCCTTGTCAACATTATAGACACCTCCAAGCGCACCAGGAATTTTATTGAAATCGTTTACATGGTTCGCACATAACCTAAAAAAGTACCGATGCAGTTCGCTGGAGGTTAGCTGTCTGACCACATTTTGGGTGCATCGCCAGCAGTTCGGACAGCGCACAGCTTCTCTGATAGCAGTGAAGAAGCCGCGGCCAGCAGTGAACCGGTCGAGGGAAGTCGGCTGAATGTTCAGTAGAGCTGCCGCAATGTCCCAATTATTATGCCATACAGCTTCTCTAAATGAGTCCTCGTGAGCATGGGAAATGTGTTTAATATCAGAATTCAGGAAGTCCCTGAGGAGTGTCTGAACAATATATGATGCCACATAAGTCGGCCACAGTGTAGGGATAACGAGTCTTCGAAATATCGCTGTGATAGTCTCGCCGTGTAGATCCATGAGCGTTTCAGAACTACTAAGTTCACGAAGAATGCTTTCATCTGGGATGGGTGTAGGAGAGCTCTCCCCACCCAAAAGAGACAGAAAATAGATGGTATAAGATATCGAACCGTGTTCAGACATCGAGCTTGTTGGCTTTGGTATACGGAAATGAGAAGTTGAGCTCCGTGTCGTTTCATGTCCGAAAAACCTGGCGATGGTTGTCAAGATCATGCCTTTGTCTAAGATTTCGGTTGATAGGAGCCCTTGGATGAGCATATCAATCAAAAGCATCCCATGAGTGCTTTTCGCTTTAAGCAAAGAATAAGCCTCTTGCTTGCATGCCGTGCTCAAATCGGAGATGGCGGGGATATACCCATGTCTCCCATCAAGTGCTTCTGTTACCATAGCGAAAGCCTGTAAGTGCGGTTGAATCGCTGGGCTATAGCCTGGTTTTAACACCTGGCAAATATCCAATTTCAACTGATGAGGAGGCTGGTCTGAGCAGTGACATAAAGGATGTGACTCGTAATTCGGTAAATAATCCGGTAGTGGTGGGAAGCATGGAATCCCATAGGCGATCGCTTTCCTGACCTCTCCAAGGAGTTGGTCGTGATCGAGACGTGTCGGTATCAACCCTACACAACCATTTTGACAGGTCTCGTAATTCTTGTTGACAGCTAGAATGCACTTGGCCTCTTCCAACTCGGGTTCCATCAAAGGATATTCTAACAACAACTGGAAGGATCGGCATGCGATCGCGTAGTAGCCATTCCGCTCAGCGTAATCGAAAGCAAGGCAGAGATTAGAGAAGTTTAGCCCGACATCCGTCTCGTTGTCTGACTCATAAAATGTGTCATTGACCACAGCCTTCATCACACGGAACCAGCGTTCTGATCTTGGATCGTTACGATTTTGAAATCCCGTTATGACTTCGTCCTTCCATTCCGTACTATGCCAAGGCTCGTCTTGCGAGTGCTGAGCGGGCTTTTGGACCAGTTGACCTAGGAGACTCCAGATCTTCGTCTCCGTTTTGCTAATGTATTTGGTATGCTTGAACCAGTTCGTCGACGCGTATTCGAGAAAGGGGTAGTCTGTGGTTCCTTGGGCTTTACCAGTAACTGGCATAGGAGAGCTCAGGGAAAATTCGCGCTGTGTTGAGGCCTTATTTGTGTTTGATGTCTTGACAAATTGGCGAGCTAGGCGACCAACGCGTGTTCCAACGCCACCATGGATGATGGACTGTATCGTCTGTTCAGCTATTCCACTTGGGTCAATCTTCATAGCGGATGGAGTCAGAGGCTTTTTTTCCCTTTCTGCTAGCGTAGTTTGAAAGTTATCAAGACTGACATACGTAATGCAGACCTCGCCGGCAAGCTTATCGCACTGGTAAGGGTCAATGTGAAGAGCCCCATGTTCACCCGGATCTGTAGCCAAAAGAAACTCTTGAATGGAATGATGGCTGAACCGAACTGTGTTGTCTGTTTCCTCGACATAAATCAAGTTCTCACACCAAGCAGGTAAACGTTCTATTCCGCTGATGAGATCCTCCTGTCGCAGAGTGTGTTGCCCAGGTTTGATAGATAGTGCTTCACGGAGTTGTGATAAAGTCAATGGTTGTAATGTTGCGTTTGTCCACATAAAGGCTTTCTTGGCGATGTCTTGATTGCGCTTTTGGATAATGCGGCTAAGCGCACGGTTAAAAGTCGCGGGAAGGTCACCCGGGATGTTTTGAAGTGCTTGCCGAATTTCATTGTCAGTCTTCCCAGAGCATATATCCTCAATAGCAAAAAATGCCCACAAGAACCTAAGGGCAAAGTAACGTCGTTAGCTCTGTCAGATTTGAGTGGGCTGAAAGCTGCTCACATTCCCTGCTCCTTAGAAGCAATGGTTGTCAGAATCTCTCTCAATAGCCTGGGGTCACTGACAACCAGTTCGCCAGTTGACAATTTGTCAATAATGATGTCGTCAACATATGAATCGATGTCGACGCTAGTACTTTCTAGACCTGTAACTAGTCGCTGCGACTCGGGGAAAATGCTTCTGATTGCGTTGGTACATGTCTCTCGAGAGGCGAAAACAACGCTTATGTTACGCGTTGTATTATTCCTCGAAATAATTCCTTGGAAGAATTTTAGCAACTTGGACTGTTGATCAGTACTACACTCATCTAAGCCATCAATAACTATAAACCATTGTTTGATAGCTTTGGCCGCAGACAAATAGAGATCTGAGAGCAGGTCGAAGGAGAACAGAGCCAACTTGGCTCGAGAGAGGTGTTCGTCAAGTTCAGAAACGACCCTTGGGTCTAGACTGTCCATGTCGATGGCTGATACTAACTGTTGAATGCAGGAGCGTATGACTGTTTCCGCGTTGAGGCTAAGCGGATCATCAAAGCGGACAAAGAAGAACGACACGAATTGATGAGGTGGCCGTATCTGCGACAGCTTCTCAACGATCGAGGACCTGGGACCGATAATGGTAAGTTTTGTGGGTTTGTGTACCTGGAGGGTAACTACTCACGACAAGACTGTTTTACCAGACCCAACTTGAGACAGTAGTCAGCTCCGGTCTTTCGCTCCTTTGAGTAGCAGATGACTCACTTTTGCCAGTGATATGAAGAACGGGAGACCCATTGATTTTGACCCATTGTTGGAATTCCGGAGTCGCAAAGACCCATTTGGCCGTGCCTACGTGGCGCTTGTTTCGTGTGCTGTTGAAGGCCGAAGTGAAGTTGAATGACGATAAGTCCTCAAGAAGGCGACGTCGTTTGTGTTCTAAAACTGCGGGTTAGTTTGACTCTCGATAAAAATCATTCACGCCCAACCTGATGCATCTCGTCTTCGCTGCGCTTGAAATATTTCCATTTCGGCAGCCCAAGCTCTGAAGCGTTTCCGATGGTCCGTAGCCTCTTTTCGCTCTGTGGTCTGTAGTTGCTGTTCCTCGCGGTCACACTGAGCCTTGACCAATTGAATATCGCCCTGTACCTCCTCTGCTTTCGCTCTGATGTCTTCCACGTAGCTTCGAAGTTCAGACTGAAAGGACTGTGTAATTGCCTTGAGAATCTGATTCTTCACTATGCGATAAATTAGCGCACCCTTCCCTTCGGTCAACTACTTCGACATACTCACAAGGCCGTCGGACAGCCAAGACGATTTGCTGGCAACAGGTAATGACTGCCGTATGAAACTGGCAGACTGAACTTTTGAGACGGGAGGATTCCTTGAAGATTACTTGATACTCGGCGAAGCGGGTGCATAGTGAACCGAAGCCGTGGAGAAGCTCAACAAACGATTGGAAGTAAGACGCGAAGTTGGCAAGAAACTATAGCGATAATATTGTCAGTCAGCGGTACGTAGACGTCGCATCCTTCCTACCATAAATGTAAGTTTGATTGAGCCCCAGATGAGCGCGGTGACATCAGGATTCGATTGGATGTAAGTGTCGACGATGGGCGTGAACTGCTCAATCGTCTGCAAGAATGAAGCCAGTCTCGAGGCGACACTCTTCCCTCGCCTGTTCTTATCAAGAAGATCGAGCTCGGCCGTGAAAGTGATGATGCTTTGTGAATCATGCGACGTCCCTTTGAGCTGCTGTAGCTTTTTGCGGTCTTCATCGGTCAAGATGGCCTGGAACCCCGCGATAGTTCTCTCAAGCTCCCTGACAGTTGCGGCTGAAACATCGTGTCCAGCGCGAGGTCGAGAAGCGGCAACGATTTGTGAGTCCGCGGGCCGGGAGAGTTCCATGGCTTCAATGTCGCGTGCGAAGCATCTGATTTTCTGTTGATGCAAGGAGAGGATTGAGCAAGTAGGAGGTCTTCCCTCACAGCCTGATCGGAAAGAGGCCTCACGTGCAGTCTGCGGCAGCCACCATCATCGCGCTTGCATCCGCGGTATGATTGGGCACTTCAGCGGGAAGGCGTTATTTCAAGACTCAGCCACCACCAGTTTTGTGCCTCAGCTGAAGCCACTGAATTGCGGCTTGACTCAACGGCTCGTCCTTTCCTCTGAGAAAAAAGAAAGTAATGATTTTGCTATGTTTATATTATACCTGCTGTGTAGGCTACTGCGGAAGTAAATTTTGTAAGGTAATCTAACAAGAGCTTTTCTCACTGGTCGATGCCCTGATTAGTATTTCGGCGTTAAGTATGTTGATGCAATGTCTGGATCGATGAAACCAAACTTTTCAAAACCATTAGTTTCCAAGGAAGACCGAAATTTATATAGCATTTAAAGCAGACTTTACAAGATTCAGACACAGAATCTGCGCCGCGAATTTCCTCTACCATCCATGTTTATCATCCAGTGGTGAATCGACCATTTCGTGAATCAAGGTACCACCTAAAAACCCCTCGTTTATATCCTCACCGTAGACTTGTTGAGCTTCGAGTCGTGCCCGGACATTACGCAACTCTGGCTTGCGCTCAAGATATTTATAAAAGGCATCAGCGGCGTCTGAATGCTGGCCATTGCAACTGTCATACTGCAACTAGTGTTAGAAAAAATACCCGTTTGTTGAAGAAAAGAAAAGACGTACCAACACGCTGAGGTTATACCAAGGCTCCCAGATAAGAGCATTTAGCTCTACAGCTTTGGTCAGGGCGTCGAGGCGATCTCTACTTTGACCGATATCGAAGTATAGAATCCCAAGTGTGATCCAGAACGAGGGGCAACGGCTCTCGACATATATCGCGGTTTGTAGGCATTGGTAGGCCCTTTCGTAGTCTTCAGCCTTCATACATGCTCGACTTAGTAGGTACCAGTTCTCGGGGATGGAGCTATCTAAAAAGTCTCAGAACGTCGGGCTGTAACAAGTATATCGGGTCTTATCACCTGATTCAACGGCAACTTCTAGATGATTTCTTGCAATATCAATTTGATCGACAGATATAGTTTCCCCTATTGCAAGAAGTATCTCTAGGCCGACATATGCGTTTGCCATGGCGTGGTTAGGATCTTCGCTCAGTCGCCGATAGGCTTCCTCAATATCTTGTATAGGCTCTATAGGTTGCAAGAGCTTGACCCTGAGAAAAGTTCCTATATGCTCATCCATAGATATGGGAGGTAGCTGGGGCCCGAAACTTCCCTTGGTATTGGTTCGACTTGTGAATTGCTCCACGGGGTGGTGCGAGTAGGGAGCCTCGTTGTATAGGCCGATTAATCGCGTCGTTGTGAAAGCTGTCTTTGAACACCGGGAACAAATATTGCTGTCCAATTCTCTGATCAGCCGACGGCCTATAAGTGCGAATTTCATAGATTATGTCGCTCACCAAACTTGGCGGTCTTCGAACTCGAGGACTTCATCCTGAAGCGTCCCGGCACACTTCGGGTTCAGGCATCTCTTGGAAGAGTGGGAACCCTCGATGGAAAGGGACTGGATATTGTCGCGTGCTTAGAATGAAGTCATGACAGAATCTTGGATGAAGAGGTGCTGCTCTATTTCACAGTCGGGAAAGAAACAACGCAAGATGCTGATATCCTCTTAATGTTTAGCTGTTGATCATATATCTGTAACGCGCTTCTCCTGGCTCGCGCTAGGAATCTTGAACTGATTGGCGCTACGCTAGCGGATCTATTTAAAGCTTCGATACGAGCTTGCAGCTAGATGAGTCAAGCGGCGTGGCTGAGCAGCTATGACCAACACACTATTAAATAGAGAGGAACCACCCGTAAGCAGAATGGACCTTACACAATTGGAACAACTCATCTCAGCAATACAAGCTATAGAAGACTGGCCATGGACGGATTCGAAGGCATCACCGACCAGTTAAAAGCTCTATTGTCGCGGCACTTCCAAGTGGTCGCCACCCACTCGCAACGTCAAGACCAATGGTACAAACGCTCTTATCAGTCCTTCGCGGCAGAACATGGCAACCGTGAGCCACTCATCATTGTGCCACGCGAATCCCCGGAAGAATGGGCTCCCCAAGTCCGCCGCTTCGCGAGAATTCTTGCTGCTCGGGTGATAGCTGCGATTGAAACTCAGACTTCTCAATCGAGAGATACTACCTCAGACTCAAGGCTTTTCCCGGACTGTGTTCTCGACGCGATACATAACGAACCACTTAGTCGCGCTGTCAGAGGGAACGAACAGCTGCGACCAGTTGCTATGCAGATCACGCGATGGACTTCAACGAATGCTTACATATTCAGCGGGGCTGAACGGATGACAGGTATCAAAGCGCTCATCGCGTGTGGAGAAATCGATGTCTTGCTCCGATTGGCAACGCTGCCACAGACGCATCCACCGAAAGAACGTGAGATAGATCCTTCACGGTGGAGACACCTGAACAGAGACTGGCAGGATGTCATCGATCATATCCTTTCCATTTTGTGGTTTCTCGGGGCCATGGATTCCTTTCCTGAGGATTTCATTGCTGAAGGCGGTTACAAGTACTGGGCCCCCATCGCATTCCACAATTATCTTTCGCACATCCAACCATACATCGAAGCCCATGACGGCAAGGTACCAAGTACCGGCGAGGCAATACAAAAAGAGATATCTCATTGCATCAAGGCGCTAGTTGCAGCTCAAACATTCTCCACCAAAGCTGGCTTCGACCCTATCCAGTGGGAAGACCGTATCATGGACGGTTTTCTCTACATCCTGGGGTTCGAGGCCTGGAATAGGAGTAGAGAGGGGGCAGGCTATCTGGGCTGTGATCTGAATGTCACCAAAACTGCAAAGTCGCTTCGCAGTATCAGCCACGGGGAGGACGATGACGATGTTGTGGAGGAGGCAGTCCAGGGCAGTAAAGGTGCTGCTTCAAAGCCCAGAGACCCTCTCAAGCTGAGAGAGCCAAAGAAGGAGATGGCTCACGAGATGGACAAGGAGGAGGAACAGGAAATGGAGAAGTTGGCTGTTCTGGAGACTGACGAGAAAGACTATGGGCGAAGGAGGAGTATGAAGTATATGACGAAGCACAAGAATTAGTTCTTGACTCTGTACTTCTAAGTACTGTGCCATATTATTCTCTCTGGCGACCCGGCTTCAAAAGCACGATTGAACCAGTTTTTAAGAATCTCGGCTAAATGGGGATTGTAGCTTACTGTAGCTCATGGATGCGACATCTGAGAGTATCTTGGTTTGCTAGGAAACCCTTCCATATATTCATAAGCGTTCACGTGGTATCTCACGCCTCTTTAACATACAAGCGTCACTTACACCTCCTATTGTGGCCGATCTGGATAGTACTATATGACATGGAATAGTCTCCGACTTGGGAACACAGTGTATTTATAACTACTACACTCGGCTGTCATCCAATGCAAAGATAGTAACAATCTCAGCACTTTACCGCCAGTCTCCCTCTGCAATCCACTGGTTCTGAAATGCCCTTAAGTGCTTCTGCTTTCCCATCATCGAAATACCCTCAATCTCCTCAGGCATCAGCTTAAAGCTCCAGACATTCCTCATATAACTCTTCAGCCTCTCCTCGCTCGAGCTCGTTGTTATAACCACGATATCTTGATCAATACACCAGCGCAACGCAATATCCCCTTCAGTGACGCCATACTTCTTGGCCAAGTTCTCATATAGAGCATCTACAGGACCTGGCCTTGCACGTATGATAGCTGTTAGTGGCGCATAGGCCGATAGGGCTATGTTGTTCTTTCGATGGTAATCTATGAGATTGCCATGCTGTAGATACGGATGGTACTCGATTTGGTTGATTGCTGGTGGGACTTTAGCTGTGGCGAGGATGGTCTCAAGATGCTCTTGTATGAAGTTAGACACGCCGATGGACTTGGCCTTTCCAGACTCTTTGATAAGTTCAAGGGTAGCCCAAGCTTCCTGTAAATCTCCAGGCTTCTCCGCGAAGAACGGCGCGTGGATGAGATACAAATCCACATAATCAAGCCCAAGTTTCTTCAACGAGGTATCAAAAGCGTTCTGTACATCTTGCTTCTTCCAGCCGTTGAGCTTGGTGACAACATAGAGCTTTTCCCGCGGTAAACCGGATGCTCTGATAGCTGCCCCGAGCTCCTCCTCGTTCCCGTACGCTAAAAACATATAAGAAGAGGCACGAGTGAACAGGCTATTGGTAAAACATACATGAAGCACCATCGAGGTGATAGAAGCCACTCTTTATTGCATTTAACGTATAGTTGAATGCGTTCTCGTCGTAATCGGTTCTCCCTCCCTTCTTGAAATTTGCTGTTCCTAGACCGTACGCTATCTATTTCACGTTAACCCCAGGTCGAGTACATAATAGTGAGGCATAACTAACCATTGGGATTTCATTTCCATCATTAAGCTTGAGGGTGGGTAGAGCTGAAGGAGTACTGGTGGAATTCATAGCGTATTCATCAAAGCCTGGTTAGCGCTGGGTATCTTCTTGTTGTTTCTGGGAGGTGGTGTGACATCAAAAGTAATACAATGCACTGTATATATCCTCTGTCGATCAATTATCTCCGTCCGTTCGTCCGTTCAACTACCGATATCATCATCCTCCGCCTCCCCGCAAGAGGAGGCCTCGGTTCGAGTGACGGTCCACCTCCAGGAGTGACATATCACAATCTGTAGGACCGAAAGGCCGAGAAGGACTGTGTACGTGTCTAGGCGTGGCCTTGGATACAACGTATGCTGCATGTCACGTCATTTGGGTCACAATATGATATGTCACTTAAGTTGCTGTCGGTGCTTACGAATTACCAAAGATGGATGGCTCGTGTCACCGGAGTTCCGTCTCCAAACTTAGAAGTTCCTTTGACTATCTACACTAACTATTGGACCACCTATCGTCTCAATTTAGCACGTAGTACTCTCCTCTTGACTCCCTCAAAGTCCTCCCGCTACCCATGAATCGGAACATGTTTACTGATCTATACTCAATCTCAAAATCCTCAGTTCTAAAGGTCTCGAGGATTTCTAACAGAAGTGGTCACATATTAGTAAGCGTGAATCTAGACGCAGACAGGAAGTGAGGGTACACTTTACCTCTAAAATGATGGCGGCTTCCACCGTAAACTGCCGTGACGTGTCCTTCTTTCTTTCTATTCTTGTACCAGCTTCTACATGACCCAGTCCACACCATCCGCTTGAGCAGTTCTTGTAGGTAGATGTTGTAATCATCCAGAGCCTTCTGTCTGACACAGACTGATCTGTTGTAACGTCAGTTTAGCCGATCATATCATGTAGACTCGGCATACGGAGTATACTTTATATCTTCGGTTGCAATTTTCCTACACCACTTCAATATCCATTTCGCGACACAAAACACGCTGTCTAGAAGCGAGCCATGGCCCACTGCCGACTATCAGTAATGCAACCCTACCAATTTAAAGTTTACTTACCTGGACTATTCGGTCCAATGAAGATAAAGTAATTCGGCATATTCGCCGCTGCAACCCCAAAGTAAGCTTCCGGCGACTCCCCCCACGCTTCATGGAGCTGATAACCATTGCGCCCCTGCACCGTCCACGAACGGCGGAAACTTGCGTCAAATCCGGTTGCGCAGACGATAATGTCAAAGTCAGTATAGTCTTGTGTGGTTTGAATCCCTGATTCGGTGATCTGGACGATTGGATCAAAAGTGACACGTGTGTTATCCTGACGGAGAGCTTCAAGGTAACCATCACCTGGTGTTGGTCGTCGACATCCGTATTCGTAGTCTGGAATTAGCTTCTCGCACAGCTCTTTGTCATTACCGAGGCGTTCTCGCATACGGTTGTATGCATTCTCGAGAGCGGCTTTCTGAGCGGCTGTGTCTTTGAAGAAGACGTTCCAGAAGTTGTCTTGGCTGTATGAAACTTAGCAAGAATCTTGATATCAGTGCTACTACAAACCTGTTTTCGATCTCCTTTCGAAACTTCCACAGCGAGGCTGGATTTTCCCGAAACTTCTTCTTTTCCTCTTCTGTAAAAGCAAAGTTTGTGCCGTCTTTTGTGAGTTCTGAGGCATAGTTGGCGAATATCCATGTTGGCGTACGAACATAGGTTGTCAGTTGAGCAGCGGTCTTTTGCAGGTGCGGGAGGACTTGGACACCAGATGACCCGTTTCCGATAACTGCAACCTTTTTGCCTGCCACATTGATAGAAGGGTCCCTGAGATTTTAGAGTTAGAGAAACGGCGATAAGGGGAGGAGAGAGATGTACCAATCTGCAGTATGGACGATATGTCCTTTGAAGTCATGGAGACCAGGAATATCAGGCCAATGCCAGTTACTAACGCCGTCAGTTTTTTGATACCTTAGTTGAGCTCGCTGTGAGCATACTTGAGAAACCCCGAACCGTCGATCAATACATCACATTCGTCCTCTTTTTCCTCGCCGTCTTGAAATAACTTCAAATTCCATTTTCCTGTAACATCATTCCACATGGCATCTGTCACTTTCGATTGAAATCTGACATTCTCAGCTAAGCCATACTTATCTGAAGTTCTCTTGATATAGGCCCAGATTTCTGGCCCTGAAGCATAGAAGCTGGACCAATCTGGATTTGGCTCAAACGGAAAAGTGTATATGTGCGCTGGAACATCACACTGAGTTTGTCAGTCAACTATCCCTGCTGCGTCTTTTCATGGGAAACACGCACTGCCACACCAGGATATCGATTAACAAGCCACGTTCCACCAACATCGTGGTTCTTGTCATAAATAGTCAGGTCGATGAACCCTTGAAGTGATTCGTTGTACTTTGCTTCATAGGCTAACATGAGACCTGAAAAGCCGGCCCCAACACAAACGATGCGTATGTTTCGGGGCTTGTATGCGGGCTCATCTAGCAGAGGAACCCAGTTTCTCGCAATTTGTGCCTTGTTTTCCATGGTCGCTTGGACTCTCATTTTGGCGTGATCTCAATTTCAGATATAATTATGTAAGATGGGCGCCGTTATGCAAATTGCAATACTAGGACAGCCTGAGCCAAAACAGGCAGGACATTATATAGTTCGTGCCTATGTTACAAGGCATGAGATGAATTTGACTATGTAAGAGGCGCAAGATATATGCCGTATACGGCTAGGAAGGCGACGTCCGTGTTTAGTCGAGTCCTTAGTGCAGCTGTCCGTCATTCTCTGTCACGGGCGAACGGCGCGGACCGAAATGCCTCGGCTCCGAAATACGCGCCAGCACACATCATATCACGTCTACATCAGGAAATAGCTGCAGCCAGAAGGATTGCGATCCGAGAGAATAGAGTTTAGACAACTAACACCTGCATAATCGGCGGAGAACAGGTCCTGGCCAGGGGCTGGTGGGGAACAGATGCGTGGCCATTTCTAAGCGATACGACACTGACAGGGGACGGGACGGCTCGCTCGGCCCCCCATTATACGCATTAGTGTGAGCCGAGGCTAGCCTATCTCCACCTAGGCCGAGTTGAAACCCCTCTTGTCTCTATTTCTTGAAATTGGGCGGGGGAATCCGGGGAAACTGGGGGAAACTAATTGTCGATCCTCATGAGGAATCGATATCTTGGGCTTACTGCTATAGGTAGGTCTGTATGCATGACGTCGTATTGGTACGCTTTCTGTCATATTCTGAGTCATGAAATTAGCTGAGAGATAAGAATCTGTCTTGGGATACGCTTTCTGTCATATTCTGAGTCATGAAATTAGCTGAGAGATAAGAATCTGTCTTGGGATATTCAGAATATCAAGGTTCACAATCCTATGTTAGTCACAGTGGCTCATAATGGCAGCAACTGGGGGGAATTCAACAGCGGGGATACAGCCTGAACATTCATGGTCTTTGTATGAGTTGATGGGTCACAAAACGTGGTTTCCCGTTATTTTGATTAATAAAGAATACTGAAAGAGCATTGCAGTCACTTTGCAAGCTACTAACTGCTTGCCATTCCATAAAATCATGATATCACTGTAAGTGATGAATAATCTGAAACATACGTAAAACCCAGAACGCGGAACCGCAATGATCTGACTCCTACCATTACCATACCCTCCATAGCAACGATAGTAGTTCAGAGGAAAGTTTAACCGGCAGATCATCTACCGAGAATGATCTGATTCTTACAGATAGCTATCATGGTGAAAGCCTGTTCCTGCGATCAGCGTTGCGGCTCAAAACACGACTGGAGCGGTAGATGATATCCTTTCATCCACAACAACCATCACAAGACCCTACATAATCCCATTATGGCAACTATTCGGGCCATGCCCACGCGGTAGTTGAATAGAGTTTTCCTGATAGTAACCATCACGGCAGCTGTACCCTTCAGCAAGAGCGTGGGGAGAACCTCAAGGGTCGAAACAAAGGAGGTAATTGATGCAAATTCCGCGGCGAGAGCCATCGCGAGGTTCTTCATCCCGAAGGAGGAGAAGCTTACGACAAGGCTTAGGCGGAGATGCGCACCTATTCGAGCATGAGAATTTTTGAACTTGTGGAGACGGCGATATGTACGACGCCGTTGGGATGCATCTTGATGCTGGGATCAACATCCTCCAGTCAACCGAAGGTCCTCAAGTTGTTGACGAGTTTGGGGAGATTGATGATCATGATATGAGATCCACTGGGATAGCATCAATTTCACCGCGGTAAAGGCGGAATGGCTCGAGGTAGACGTCGGCGAACAGATCAGGAAATGCCTCCTTTCCGTCCATGAGAGGGAACTATCAGTCTATGAGGGAACAAAATCAAAGACGTGTATATAAAGGGCTCTAGGACCCAGGTTAACTACTCATCATCATCAACAACAATTCCATCATCGTATCCAATATCACTTGACTCGTCTTCTCACCATACAAGGTGCAATCTTTCAACCTCCATTACTATATCAAACTCCGTATGTAAAAGTTCACAGCGTACTTCATCTCGACTTCTTTCTAACGAACATCATAGAACCAATCCACCAAAATGCAGCCCCGTCTTGAACGTCTCCAGCCCATGCTCGGCAACCCTCTCTTCGAGAGCATCCTCTGGGGCCATGAATACGACCTCTCCAAGCTCAACAACGATCTCCGCCAGAGAATCGAATCAGGCCAATTCAAGCGTCTTGTCTTTTACGGCATGGGCTGCTCCTCTGTCGTCTCTGATATCGTCAAGGGCTTTTTCCTCAACGAGAAGATTCCCCTTCACGTTCAGGTCATCAACGACTATGATCTCGACTGGTTCGTTGACCGCAATGTCATGAAGGACCCCACTACGCTGGCTATCATTGTCTGCTACAGTGGCTGGTCTGTTGAGCCTTGTTTGTTCTTTGAGACTATGCGTGAGATGACCGGAAACAAGAACTTGATTGTTCTTTCTGGTGGTGGAAAGATCCAACATTTGTGTGAGGAGCATAACACCTCTATCATCCTGTACAAGCTCCGCCACGCGGATCGCGAATATCCTCTTTACCACGTCCAGCAGTTCTTCTCCATTTTCCTGGACCTCTTCCACAAGCTCAGGCTCACACCTTCTTCTTACCACAAAGAGCTTCAGGACTCAGTCAACTTCTTGAAGACTGAGTTCAACGATGCTACGTTAAAGAAAGCTCAGGCTATTGCTGAGAGGTTGAAGAACAGTCGTATCGCGCTGCTTAGCACTGCTGATTGGTACGTCACGCTTCTTAAGCAGACTACTATGTTCTTCAATGAGATCGCCATGGTTCCAACGCACCGAAACCTCCTGCACGAGTTCTCACACACTGAAGTTGCGGCTTACTCCAACCCCTCTGAGAAGCAAGCTATCATCACGTTCCTTGACTCCAACGCAGATCAGTATACCAAGGACAAGGTCAAGACTCTGGAGGGTCTGTTTGGCAGCAAGGACATTCCACAGAACAAGAACATTGAGTTCATCAACATTGATCTCAACCAGAACAACTTCTTCAAGAAGTTCTTCTACGGTCACTTCTTCACGGTCTACGTGGCGTACTACTTGGGTATTCACTCGAATGTGGAGGGACGAGATTTGATCTCGATTGCGGCGAAGAACCCGTGGTGGAGCCAGCGCAACATTGAGCTGCACCCCAAGTGTGTTGATATCCCCGCTGAGCTGAAGGGCTAGATGGGTTATGTCCTGATGGAGCTGAGTGTATTGCAGGATGGGTGGATACGCGACGGTTTCTCACTTTTCAACAAAGTGAGAGCTGTCAAACAGGAATTGTTTAATGTCTTCTGCGCAGCTGTCACACTCTGTCATGCTCTTTTGTGAATTAAAACTTGTATAGTCGTTCCTTTAACTAGTTTCAATATAGTAATGACAATCCTTTCACCATCAGAAATTGACTGATTCATTACACCGAAGTCTCTTTATGGGAGCGGGGCAAGTAATAGTCCTTTTTACTCGTCATATTTAACTATCAATATATTTATCTCAGGTGGAAAAACCTGCATGGGACCTAAAGTTCAACCTTAGATCCAAGAAACGCTTCCGTATAAAATCTCAGACTTCGCTATAAATAGGTGGCCAAGTCGAGTGAAAAAGGCCATTTACGCGCTTGACTTGCGTTCCGCCCTCTATGTTGCGCAATTATCTACATGATGCGCTTCTGAAATATCGACTTCATATGCAAATACATGTCCATCAACCACGCTGCAAACACCAAGATAGTCATAACAGTAGCAACCCAGGATATGGCGCTGGATTCTAATTCTTCCCCGATATACACCGTAGCAATCGTGAACCCAACATTGGGAAAGACAATCGCCCACCAAGGAAGCGCAAAACTCATCTGCTGCCGTGACTTATCCCCACGGAGCTTCGAAACCAAAATGGGCACGTGCGCAACCGCGGCAATTGCGAAAAGCCAAAAGGTAAATAACCAGAGAAATATTCCTACCCACAACGCCATAATGTTGAGCGTCTCTGCTGCGGTGGGATGTTTCGCAAAGTATCCGTGCCCATCTGGGATTGCTTTTGCGCAGCCGATCAGGGCTATGATGGTATAGCCTGCAGAACCGACGGAGATAAAGAGGCCTGGTCTGAGATTGACAGGACCGAGGCCGTTGACGAGAAGGTTGCCGACAAAGTGGGGAAGAAAAAGGAGACAAAGGATCCAGCCGAGACCCTCGAATGCAATTCCAGCAACTATTATGGGTATTCGTTCTGATGGAGGTTGATCGGCTGCGATTACCGACGCGACAGTTCCGGTAAGCATAGCGTTGTAAATCATCAGAAACATCGGAGAGCTCATGCTACCAGGTGCAAAGGGCGCGAGAGAAAACATAACCACAAAGATGACAACGTTATACGTCAGCGTAATAGCACCATAAATCCAAAACAGAACCCGGACGGTATCGACAAGCCAAGACCCAGCGTGAGGAACACCAAAACTCTGTATGCCCATAATGATCGTCGCCATCGAAAGCCACAGCGAGCCAGTAAAGTACGCTTCAGGCGGTTTCGTCACAGATTTGAGTAAACTAGCCGGTCTCCGAACAAACCGACATATCATAGCTGAGCAAAAGAGAATGAACAGAACAAGGTTGAGAATGAACACCACGACGCCAATGGTATGCAAACCGCGAAATGAATACGGGCTCTTGGATAGCATCAGGGCCACACCGCCTGTGGACTGCGTGCAGGTGAAGTTGCCCCATGTGAAGCGATCGACCAGTGAGACGGCGCGTTCATTTTTAGGTTCAGGATTGTTGGGCTGGGTCGCGGATTTGGGGAGTTCGTCTTGCGGCATGGCGAGTCTGCGGTAATTAAAGGTCAATCATGGAGGGGATGAGAAAGGGGTGTTAGGAAGTTGGCAGATTAGGAGGGGTAGCTTGGCGCGTGTGCTGAAGTGAAGTCAAGGTCAGTATTTATATCCATGCCGTGCCGTGCAGGACCAACGCGCGGGAGACAAGGATTGTGGGTCCAAGACGCCGAGGCATTTCAGATCTCGGTTTTGTTGCTCGGCCAATCGGGTTTTTGGAGATAGTATCCACAGCGCCCACTTAATCTCGCAAGCGATGAAAGAATCTGGGGTTCAACGGGCAACGCGAAAGACCAGTGTCGGTCCTCATCACTATGGCTGTCTGCAGGTGACCAATAATAAATTGTTGTGGTTAAATGGATTTATAACGAGATAACCAAACCTAAATAATTTACATTTCAGAGATCCAGGATATTGTTGGAATATGTAAGAGTAAATTACAGAACGTTATTATCCAAGCATTTTGTCACTTTGGTGCTGACTCGGTCCAGTTATGCGCAAATGCGGAAAACGAAGAGAAGTCTTTCTCAGCCGCAGTGTTCTGGTCTGTCTGACCTATCACTGGCTAGCAACGTGCAACCGTGCGTATTACCTAGTTCAGCAATCCATTGGGTTCAAATACAAGCAATGCCCCGCATTGTATGACTATCAGTCCACCGACTTCACTGCGCATCCATTTGGTAAAAACAGACTCAGCTATAAGCTACCATGGCTTCCACTTCAAATTCTGCAGAGCCTGATGAAGAGTCCAAAATCCTGCCCATGGATGAGGATCCATCACCTTTCGACTTAACTGGTGACGTAGCGCGATGCTTCCAACACAAAGTCGCAGATTGCAACCCCATGAGCTCCGTGCCTTCAAAAGCAAATTTAATACCGATCCTTGGAGAATTATCCTGGGGTTTTCTTTTATCCCCGCCCACAGAATCCCCGCCCATAGAAGTTGGGCCAGAGAGTTCCGGTAGCTCCTCGTCATTCGTGCCAGCAGGTAGCGCCTCATTACCCACTCCATTAAGTACTCGTGCTACAGTGCGGAGGAGTTTTTCATGCCCATATTGCCCTAGACGCTTCACACGGCGAGACAATATGAAAGTAAGTCAAGGTAATCTCGAAATCAGCCCAGTGACATCTGTTTAACACTAGGCTACTTATAGAGACATCGACTCGTACACCATAGCGAACGAAGTAAGAGGGAAAAAGGATGCTCAATGCCAGAGGCGACAAGGGAGAGCGACTCGACCAACGACGTAAATCAAGACATACATACATACACTGAAGATTCGCTTTCGCGGCCGGGTTCCAACCAACGCAGTTCGGATAACTTACAGATCCCGACCCGAGGAGGGGAATATCAACCTCAAATCAGATTGCCTAAATCTATGGTTAAAAGAGAAAATCTTGAGGATAGTCCTGGGTATCGTGATGCATTGTGTTCTTCGGAGCCTGGCCCATCGTCCGCGACTGGAGAAGAACTTGACGATTCCTCCCCGAAAACTGACAGCGATGAAAGTTTTTCCATCACAGATACTTATGTCGATAATCAGAAGAATCTGATTGTTGAAAAGATTGTCGTCTTTATGGCGCAGTGGTTGCGTCTAAAGTTAGACGCATGGCGTAGGAATGCTGGGGACAATCCAAAAAACGCACCGAGGACATCAGAGGCACTGTCGGGCTCATATGTCCTCACTGATCCATCTGACACTATTAATTGTGGGAATAAGAAGAGAAACGCAACGGAAAGGGACGGTTGCGAGACAGACGACGAGGGCGAGGATGAAAACAGGGAAGATCAGGGGATCAGCGGCATGTCCATCCAACACGAGAATCCGAAGTACGCTTGCCCGTACTTCAAGTACAATCCGTCTAAATATCAAGACTGGAGGACATGCCCAGGGCCTGGCTGGAATGACGTCCATCGAGTAAAGTAGGTATAGGCTTATCACCCTTCTAACATCCAGTTCTAATATTTGGGTAGGGAGCATCTTTATCGACGTCATAAGCAACCCCAATATCGCTGCGCTCGCTGCTGGCAACCCTTCACGGATCAGCAAGGCCTGACGCACCACCAGAGAGCCAATGAACCATGTCCCCTGCGAGAAATGGGATATGTTGAGGGTTTTGATGCAACGCAAGAAAGAAACCTGAGATCACGAAAGCGAGCTAACCAAAAGCATTCAGAGACCGAGAAGTGGAGGCGAGTCTTCAAAATTCTATTTCCGCACGTGCTTGATGATGATATCCCCTCTCCATGTAAGTTTACCTGGTGCAACAGGAGGGCTTCCTGAACCCTTACAGCGCTAACCACTTTCAGTTTATGACTACAGCCAAGCGCCACAGAAGGACGATGCCTGCCGACACTCTGAATCGGGATCCATGGGGCAGTGTGAACAGTATATGTTGAGAGAAGTGCCGCAGCGTCTTCGACAAGTTTTGGGGAGGGAGTTAGATCGAGACCTGACCATTGTAGAGGAAAACCTGAGGCGAAGAGCTGGTGACTGTGTCAGGACTCTAATCGAGGAGGCCTTCCAAGAATTGAGGCGCCTGGGCAGCCCAGGTCAAGGGCCTGAAGCTAACCACGATATACCTGCACTGGCTGAAGGACCTCAGCTTCTTGTTTCTGAGCTGCCTAGTGGTGAGGATGCTAACCCGCATTTTGAGGGAGAGGGTGAAACGTGGCCAATCAATTTCGACTTGGACTTTTTTGATCCGTCCTCTATCCTTGAAGAGCTGCAATTCTCATTTGATAATGGTGCTTTGATTGAAGATCTATTAAGGCCTGGGGAGGATGGTGCTGGCGAGGCAACGAAACAGTCTGATTCTGGATATGTATCAAATAGTCCCGGATAGTTTAGGACCACCGTAGCTGCTTGATCGTGCCTATTATAGCAGCCACCTATCAGCTTCAAGAGTTTCAGCCCTTCTGTGAGTAATTGTTGATAGATGGCTTCACTAGATACTTTTCTCAGGTTTTGTCTGGTGAAGGAAAGCCACACAATAGTCATTAGATACGGGATACGGGTTAGTCCCTAAATAATCTCGAGCGGCAGAATCCTTCTATACATATTCCATTCATGTTCTTCACCCCTCTGCGTACTCCTCACCACAAGGTTACGTCTCATCCACCTCAAACATAATCTTAATAACCTCAGGGTGCCTATCCAAGGGACTAGTTTTGGCGTAAATTGCAGAGCCTTTGCATAGGACTCGGGCTCGTTCATCTTTGCTTCTTCGGCATCCTCTGTGATACTGTCCAAAACTGGCATATTGTCGCTGGGCGATGGACTGATAATAACACCATTCTCAACGTTTCCTTCTATGTGATACCGTGCCCACACAGCATCACCATATCTTTGCTCTCGAATGGCATCGACATACATAGTAGCCCATGGCTCAACTGCGGGCCATTTTCTTGTCAGAACGTCGTGGATCGAGCGGTCGAGGAAGAGCTGTTCGACAGGTGAAGTTTCGTCTGTGAGGCTCATCGTGGACTTTTCTAAAGATGTTGGCCAGTTTTTTATACTAGAACGTGGCATCTAAATCACGTACAAAGACCGTGTTGCGCAAGTCGTGTATCAATCCGCAAAGTCTATGAACGAGATGATAGAAGGCAAGAATGACAGGATGAGGGGCTGAAATGACTCGTATTGAAGAATGACAACGGGATTAGGCATCGGGCAGGGATTCGCGAACCAGCCGCCACAAGCCACATCGGGTAGACCAGCAGCACCAGCCAACAGATGACACAGAGAAATGGCCCCAAGATCCAGGATGGCCTAAACTAAGAACAAAGGAATGCCTGAACCAACAAACTATCTATGGGGATGAATGCGACCTATAAGGTTGACCTTCAGGCTGCAAAGACAGGTAACAAATAAGAACACGGTATATTTTGCCTCAATATAAGCTTTTACCCAGAAGCTTTCACGATGTGCCAACAAACTATAAATTACACGCCGACCTTCAACCAGTATTTCAGGTGCCTGCCCACAATCTATGAAGCTTCAGGCCCTCAAATACTTGTCCCAGTGGTGCTGGCTGCTGTACGATGCGTGCGTTCCGATTGGTTGCATTTGATGGACCTTGTCCTGATTCAGGCGCTACGAAAGGTTCCATCAAAGGATCAACTTCACGAGCCTGTTATGGAAGGTGGTCTAAATCCTAATTTGTGATTATGGTAGAACTCTCAATTATTCTGAGCCTTTTCCAAGATATTAGCTACTTCAAATCAGAGGTGCCTGGTTTGATCCTTCAGCACCGCCTAACAGCACATGATTCAGAAGCCATATAAGTAATAGCCGTAGTCCTTTATGCTGTTTCTTTTTCTCCCTTCACTCTCAACTGCCCCACCCAAGACATGTCAGGATGCGAAGCCTACATTATCTCTTGTCAAGCCTGTCTATCGCCGCTATCGCATTAGATAACCCTCTTATCACCCCTGGACATGAAGGCAGTCTCGATACAAGACACAGTTCCACTGATGGCTTCGACAATATTCTGCTAGAACCAGATACCAGAGCTGTCAAGAAGCCGTTCTATGCTATCGCCCATCGATGTAACGACATAAGCGCTGTTCAACGCGCTGTAAACGATGGTGCCAACGCCCTAGAGATGGACTTATTCTCAGAAGGAAAAGATGGCTGGTGGGCCTCACACGATGGGCCAAGCAAGAATGGCAATAGAGCGAAAGAAATGTTCAATAACATTGCGTCTGAACGCCAGGCTGGCAAGGCCATTACTTTTGTATGGCTTGATTTGAAGAACCCCGACGCCTGCGATCCTGGCAAAGCGGCAGAATGGGGTTGTTCAATCGCGGCCCTTAGGGACCTAGCCAGACAGATCCTAGAGCCCCACGGTGTGCGCGTTCTGTATGGATTTTACGGAAATGAGAATGGCAACGCATACCGACTTCTACAATCCGGCCTCACTGCTAATGAGGCTCTGAATGTAGATGGCAGATCGGCTCCCCTGCAGCAATTCTTTAACAACAAGGGGCCTTCCAATGTTCAGAAGCGTGTAGCTTCATATGGCTGGACGAACCTCAAAGAAGGATTTGGCGATTGCACAGGGTCTGGGGATGCACATCTGACATGTACCCAGCTGCGCCAGGAGGTTTCTAGTGGTAAATTCGGCAAAGTATTCAGTTGGACGGCGGTGGTGGATCAAGTGCTTTTGGTTCAGGAGCTCATGGGTGTGCGTATAGACGGTATCATTTACGGATTGGATGGCGCTCCGTATGGCGGGAGTGCTACTCAAGCTCTTGCGCAGATCCGTAGTTCGCTTACGCAGAATGGGGGATATCGATATGCGGGGATGGGCGATAATCCATGGTAGTTCGAAACCACAACTCTCTCTCTCTTCTCTCTCTCCTCTCTCTCTTCTTCTCTCTCTCTCTGGAAATTATGCAAAGACCGAGCCATTTCTCAGAGATGACAAGACACGCAAGCATCTGCATAAGCGAGAAACACTTATCAGTTATTGGCTAATTCCCTCCTGTCCGAGAGCAGGGAATCCGTCCAAACTAACCGTATATGTAGGATGAAAATTGGTCATTCGGTTACGGAGTACTCAGAATTCCTCTTTGGGACCAAGGGCCATAAGCTAAGACTTCTGCCTGGGAAGGCCCTGGCAATGTCACGGAAATATTGGCAGAGTCAAAGCGCTTAACCTTGTAGACCGCCTTAAAAGATTGACGGTTGTAGATAACTGTTTTTTTAAAAAGGAAGCCAAGGTTGAAAGGTTGAAGCCTCAGTCCACGGTAGTTCTCAGAACGATGATAGCAAGAACAAGTGTACGGTGGGAGGAGAAGACGCTGGTCACTGCGGTCTCAGCCTCGCCAAAGATGATGGTTGGCCGTCAGTATCAGGGGGATGCCTGTGTCAGGAAAGGCACAGCAGTCAGAAAATTTGCCAAGTCACACGTGCAATCCTTCCATTTTGAGCGAATGAGAGGATTGTGGCGGGACGGTCTTGGCCCCCGAGACACACACAGTCCCTACTGAGCTGATGTTCCATTCATTCCCTTTTGCGTTTTACAAATCATTTCGTCTCCAGAGATCATACGACCGTCCAGATGGCAGCAGTTCCTCCTGGCAGAACCTTCGGCGAGTCTTGGTCAGGCAGTTACCACGGGCTGAGGGTTGCAGTCAGCTATGTTGAGTCAGTTCCTCTGACCTGTGCCATCACCTTTCATCTTCTTCACTCCTCACATGCCAATATTCCAGGGGCACGGAATACTGCTTTCTCGACCCGAACGAGCGACCAACACATCCAGCGCCCCTTCATTGCCAATGAACTCTTTCGGTGGGTTTTCAGCTTCCCCTCGATGTCGACTCTGATCTGCATGACACGAAAGGCGACCGAAACGAAATCTCTTCTCGCCGTGTCCCGTGTCCAGCCCGAATCGCCACACAATAACGGCCTCTAATCAGCATAGAGACTCGGAAGATTTAGCTCTGCAGATAACAAAAAGAGGAAGATAGTGGTTGATGAGGGTGCAAGTTGTTTATAGTAAGTGGCCCCCTGACCTCTATGCCGGAAACTGTGTTCAATAGACCTCCGAGCAAGCTAACTGCCCTCTGGCAGTTTTCGATACTTGTGAGACTCTAGTAATCCATCAAGACTTCCTCCAGGCTTCACGGCATCCGTATTATGTCGCGAGACCACCGACCTGCAGACGACTTTATCGCGCGCCAGCGATCCTTCTCGATTGTCCGATCGCAATTGACGTAATAATTGTCATGGAATCCAAGAAATGCAACCAAAAGACGATATAGGCTCGTAGTCTCCTTCAGCGCTGAGCTGAGTAGAGTCAGAACATAACTTCCCATACCATTGCGCATTGGGAAGAGGGACTTGCGCTGGTATTCCGTCCATTTCCAGCTTGTGCCGTCTCCAGTCGAGATCAATAACCAAGCTTCAGCAATGAGTTAGGGATGCTATCCTGTCTCGAGCCATTCTTTTTACTAATGGAACCTCTGAATCGCCACGGCTGACATACCTATTATCAGGGATTTGAACTTGCCCCCTAGCACATGTCGATAGTTACAGTATCAACAACGATTCACCGCAGCTGATACTTCCAAGGATCGACTGGGGCTTGGGGGCCGAACCTGCCAGTAACCATTCGTGTAAAGAAAGATTTGTTTCACCAGGCTCGGGGGTAATCTTCCATCAAGAAGTGTTTCAGGTGCCTCGAGTGCCAAATCAAGTCGTACCCCTCGATGACAGCTTTGGCGACCAGGAACGTGAAAGATATCACATCGCATTTGCATACCTGTTCCAAAGCATACTTGTTTTGCGATATACCAAAGTAACCGCCCAACATCATTCCTGGCCTAGAGAAAATGAAGGAATACTGGATGAAGTTCTGATTCACTACTCCGAGGGTTACGATAAACATTGAGACCCTCGGCGGCCGCACTACACCCAATAGCAGACAACATCAAATTATTATGCTTCATCACGAATAAACAATGAAGCTGATGGTATGTCTTTAAGATTATGTTTATTTCTTTTAATTCTAGGAGTCGAATCTTGTTTATAGCTGATATTTAGTACGCATTCTACACACACCAGGTTTCCTTCCGCTCGTCCTATCTATAAAGTCAGAACACCCCCATCTTCTCTTCGACAATAAATGTGGTGCAAGCCAACCTGACAAAGAACCTCACCGGCCTCGATCGCTATTTTCCAGACACGTCTTCTCCAACAGCACCACCAGATTACACCATGCTTCTCCCTCCGCCAAGCATAACGCGGGAACTCCAACCCGTAGTACAAGGACAGAAGTTACGACACAGCTACCAGCCCCTACGAACACCTCCGATGTCCGAGTCTTTAGCCAACATCGCTCGTCACAGCGTCAAATTACAGTCCTCGATCTTGCGAGACCCTTGCTCGGTGCCCGATCGCACGCTCGTTGCGAGGACCGAGATTACAAGTTGTTCATTGTCCACCTTGGTGAAGTGCCTCACAGACTGTGAGCCAAGGTCACACAGAGAACAGTTTGTCTCAGCATTCTTTGCCACGTCGGAACTCTTCTGTACCCCAGAGGAGATACTGTCTGCTCTCATCAAGCGTTTCAATGCTGCTGAGTATGCCAAGGCATCTAAACAAGAAAACATATATCTTGGGATATGCCGTGCACTCAGAGTGTGGCTAGAGTCAAATTGGGACCCTGCCACTGATCAACGTGTCCTTGCATCCCTTGAAAGCTTTATAATACAGCGAATACATCCTGCAGTACCCATGTACTCCGAATTCTTACTACGCCGTATTAAAGATCTCCCTGTCATGGAACCGGGCAAAACACAAGCCGATCCTTCATCCGTCGATGAGAAGGACAACACATGTCAACATGCAAATCTGGTCACTCTCAAGAAGACAAACAGCTTCTTTGACGACCGAAGCGGCCAGTTGTCAATTCTTGACATATGTTATAAACATCTAGCATCCCAGATCACCGTCAAGCAGATGAAAATATT